TATGTCTTTGTGGTTTACTTTTTGGGCTTGAAAAGCTGGTTCCTCTGAGCTTCCAGTTCTCTCTTTTGATTATATGTTGGAGTGGCCAGATTGCTTTTGTCTTTAGGAGTTCCCACAGAGGCCCAAGTCAGATGAGGATCAGATGTTCTCAGGCTTTCTCCTAAGTTCTGGATCCCTCCAGGAAAGATATTGTTCTCAGGAATTTGGAGGTTGGACTGGCCTGGGAGCAGGGCCCAGGAAAGATGCTGGTCTAGGGCAGCTGGTGGCCGTGCCACCCAGAGATGCAAAGGAAGATGGGGGCAGGAAGTGGCCCCAAGGGCTCCTGGGACTGCACTGAGGAGCTGGGTTGGTCCTGGAGAGAGGCCTGCAGGTTGGAGAGAGGCCTTCAGGTTGTGCAGGCCCAGGGAAGCCCACATAAAATTTTTAAAAAATTAACACCGAGTCTCTCTGACTGCAGTCTTTGCAGCATGCACTCATAATACAGAGGTGGGGAGATGGTCTCTGTCTACAGAACCCATTTCACAGTAGAAAGCAGAGCTCGCTAAGTTTTGTGAGAAAAACATTATTCTTTAATTCATCCTAAAATGTCAGCAGATTTTAATGATTAAGCAGGTGAATAATGCATTAAGCAAAACATCAATGTGTTTTGAAGCCAAATCTGGTCCAGAGCAGGGTCTTGGGAAAGTATTTGAGGAAAAAGAAAAAAAAAAGATGCCAGAAGTTAGCAAGAGAATGAAAACTTAAGTAAAAGAGTAGCGAGTGGATAAACAAGTATGAATGTATGGAAACTATCCTCTTCCTCACTCTTTCTCAGTGTCCTTGCTACCAATGGGAAGGTAAGGGCACTCCCATGATTAACATGTAGTGAAGAGACAGGAGCACTTCACTTCCTAGGAGTAAGAACTGATTCTACCAATGGACTGGAATGCCATCTGAAGCATGCCAACTGTTGGCCATAATCAGATTTTGCCATGGAGTGTGCTCTCCTTTCCCCCTGGGGAAGTAAGAAGCTACAAGGCGCAATTATTGTCTGGATTCCAAGGCCAAGATATAAAAAGCAGTATGGTTCTTGAGATGCCTACTCTTAGAAGTCAGACACCATGCTGAAGAGAAAAGTGACAGGTAGGTGTTCTAGGTGACAGCCCCAGCTGAGAGCTATCTAACAGGTAGCCTCAACTGCCAGACCTGTGAGAAAGTCTTTGAGATGCCTCCAGACTCAGCCATCATGTGATGGCCAATGCAAAAAGAGATCCAGAGGAAGAATTAAGCAAGCTAGCTGTGGTTTTCTTTTACATCATTAAGGATGATTTGGAGAGATGGCTCAGCAGTTAAGTACACTGTTCTTGCAGAAGACCCGGTTTCAAATCCCAGCAACTAACAACTGTTGGTAAGTCCAGTTCCAGGGGATCCGACAGCCTCGTCTGTCCTCCGCAGACAATGCACAACATGGGTGCACTTACCTAGATGCAGGCAATACACACATACACATAAAATAAAAAAATAAAATATTTTACTAAAAAAAAAAAAAAGTAAGGATGATTTGCTGGGTATGGTGGCACGTGCCTTTAATCCCAGCACTTGGGAGGCAGCTGGATCTCTGTGAGATCAAAATCGACAAAGCAAGTTCCAGGCCAGTCAAGGCTATAGGAAGACCCTGCATTTAAAAAAACAAAACAACAAGGAAAAAAAAAAAACCCTTTGATTTACTGTGTTTCACACCTTTAATTATGGCACTTGGGAGACAGAGGCAGGCTGAACTCTGTGAATTCCAGGCTAGCCAGGGCTACATGGTGAGACCCTGTCTTATTAAAAAAAAATAAAAATAAAAATAAAGTGAAATAACTGGACCATAAGCTTCTAACTAATCTACCTTTACAATGCTCACTACAATTATCTTATTATTTTATAGAAATAAAAGTTCTGCCTATGCTGGCCACAGGGGCTGGGGAAGATGATGGCTTCCACCAAGCAGACCACCCTGCCACACAGGACACAAATGGATAGAGGTATACAAGTGGTAGATATTTTGAACCTCCTAGTTGCCAGATTTGCAATAGTCAATCTCAATGACAACATCAGAATACTCTCAGTTAAGATCACTGAAGTTAGTTACAAAAATAATGCCAAAAACCTCTTTGAGTTTCCATAGTAGACCCACCTGTATTACTCAGGAACCTTTCACTGGAATGTTAGAAAATACTTTGCATTCTGGAGCCTCAGGAAAAAAAAGAGAACTCTTAGATTTCTCTGTACACATGGTCAAAACTACAAGATGCCTTGAGATCAAATAGAAAGAAAATAAGAGCTACGAGAATCAGCCTGGGCCTGGAAGTTACTCAACTTCAGAATTCGCTTTTTAAACCATTAGTCTTAGGACATCTCTTACATACCTAAATATAAGAGCCACATACCTAGAAGCATCAAGGAATGGTCTGTGGGCCAAGCTGATCCACTCTTCTCGATTAGATGAATATTTTGGCTCCCGAGGTGTTTCTCTCATGGTATCCAAATCTACTAAATAATGGCATTTACTGATATCAATCTGAAATAGAGAAAGGTTAATTCCTCATCAGTCATTGTGAAGGGTAAGGAATATCAAATGCAATCCCAGGAATTTCCATAAGGTTTTAAAGGAACAAACATCTAATGTTATCTGTGCTCTTTCCACTCTGTTAATAGCATCAGGGTATCTAATTTAGACTCCTAGGGGGATGGAGCATGCACTTGCTCAAACAGGGACATATGTAAGCTGTGATAGTCTGAGTTTAGTTTAGGTCCCTCTAGCCCTACAGAAACATAGGACACCAACATGAAAGCACAATCTATCTCTAGAAAACTGTCTTGTGCTCATAATTGCCCCCTTCCAGTTATCACCTCAGCCTAGAGATCTAAGAGCAAGATTAACAGATGCTAATATGTAAGGAAGCCCTGACTCTCCTAAAGGAGACAGAGAGGTTGCACTGCACCTCACAGGTAGTACAGCAGTACATGCTTGCTGTCTCCTTCAAAGAGGCAACAGAATGGACAGAGATGTGAGAACTGTCCCTGTAGCAAGGCTGAGCGCAACTGAGGTACCTCAACTGCAGGGGTGGAGAGCAGGTAAAGCACGTGATATTAGAACTAGAGTCATCCAGTTGATCACAACATGGATACTTTAGAACTCACAAGAAAACATTAATGCATTTCATCTAGACTAAACTTGAGAATGTCTGTTCATCAGTAAACATTACTGTGGGAGTGAGAAGATGAAGACAAAATTGAGACATGGCCACACATTTTGTCATCGCCACACATTTTGTCATCAAGGATCGCACTTAGGACATGGAAAGATCTGTTAATCAATAGAATAAAAGGAAACCACCCAATAAGAAATGGGAAAGTTACTGTAATAGGTATTTCAACAGATTTCTAAATGACTGAAACAGATGAAAATGTGCTCATCTAATAAGCAGAAAACAAATTGCAATGAAAAATCACAATAGAAAATGATGGTCAGTGTATAAGACAATCATACACTGGAAGGAGATTTAGATACACAAAACTTTCTAAAAACGATTTGGTGGATCTACTAAAATTTAACATTTGTATATCCTATGAACATTGTATATCCTATGACCCAAAAATCACAGGAAACAATTTAATGCCTACGTTCAGATATAAGATTAGCAAATGAAATTACAAAAAAATGATTATTTCACATACCTAAAGTGTACCTAACAGAAATTTCTCCACCAAAAGACAATTTTAAGAATGTTCAGGGCTGGGCTGGTAAGGTGATTCAGCAGGTAAAGGCACCTGCTGCAAAGCCTAAGGACCTAAGTTCAATCCCTGGGAACCAAACAGCAGAAGAAGAGAATGGACTCTATAAGCATGCTGTGGTACATGTGCACCCACATACATATCCATATGCCTACACATGTATTTACATACACACATGCACATAACACATACACATACATATACACACACACACACACACAAATAATTGTAAAAATTCTTAAAAAACAAAAGCAAGAAAATTAGATTACCTCCTGAAAGGATGTGGATGTGAGCCAAAGGAATTACTGACAAGCATTTGGGTGCTGGGAACGTCCTATTTTTTGACTTATGAGATGGTAAAATGGTTACACAGGTACTTTCTCTTCTATTATTAACTGTATACTCATATTTTTTATAGATTTTGGTTTATATGTTAGACATGAGTGAAGGCGAAGATTTTTAAAGTGCAGATATGAGTAACTTGACCACTGGCTAACAGTAACCTGCTCTTCTCTAACGTCTACCTCACAGCAATGTTCTCAGTCTCTGCCAGCATTGTTTATATGTAAAAAAGGCTTCAGTCTCACATCTGTCTCTACATATGGCTATTCCTCCAGGGGAGAGAAAGCACACTAAGAATTGACGTCAGACCCAATTCCATTCCACATAACTCTCTAAAAATGGTCCTTTGCATAAACACTTCAGGAAATAGCCTTTTTTTTTTGTCTGAACACCCACTCTGTAGCTCCCAGGCATTGTAAGAGAACATGAAACATTTTTTAAAGGCTTTACAGTGCCTTGCCTCTACCAATGAGAACGAGCAAGAGTCTTATGGCCTCATGCTAGACTCCTTCCCATGGTATGATTACAATCCCTGACCTCAGTCTGGTGTTTTCCACCCAGACACACTAGAGGTCTAGTTAAAAGTTTGGTTGGGTATAGTCTACTGTAGCTACAGAAGGTAACTAATTAATACCCACTTACCAGGCCTTATTCATCAAATTATCTCTACTTAAACTCTATTTAAATGCTAAGTAAAGGTCTTAGAAAGACACCAAAGCAAAATCATATTAATTGAGGTATTTTTAAAAACGTTATCCAATGCTTCATCTTTTGTTTTTGTTTGTTTTATTTTGTTGTTTGAGACAGGGTTTAACTCTATAACCCTGAATGGCCTGGAACTCATAACTCATAGAGATCCCCCTGCCTCTGCTTCCTAAGTGCTGAGACCAAAGGCATATGCCACCACATCTTTGGAAAACAGCTGCTGAAAACTAAAAAAGAAAAAGGCCTCCAGAAACAAGAGGGGCATGGCCAAGGGCAGCTTCTTCATTAAAAAAAGGGGGGGATTAGGAATAGAATTTTAAGTCATTAGGCCGAAATGCATTCAGATCTGAACTCTACCACAACTTAGGTGCATGATCCATACTCATTTAAGTTTTTTCACACCTCAATTTCTTCTTGTGTAAAATAAACACACCATTACTTACCTCAAAGAGTTGAAATAGGATTAAATGAAATAAACCATTTAAATAAAATTTGTAAACTCTAAAGAACAACATTAGGATATTAGGAGGAATACTGACAGCTCTGCTCTGTGAAATGAACCTGGAGCGTCAGAGTCCATTACTATGGATTATTCCAGTTTCACCTCAAGGAGAATCTTGTGCATCCACAATTGAGGTTTTGCGACAAAGGAGTAGGATGATAAAAACTGCGTCTTGGGGCTGGAGAGATGGCTCACTGGTTAAGAGCACTGAATGCTCTTACAGAGGACCCGGGTTCGATTCCCAGAACCCACATGGCGGCTATGAACCATCCTTAACTCCAGTTCCAGGGGACTCCGAAACCCTCTTCTGACCTCTGTGGCATTGCAAGACAGCGGGTGCACTCACATACATGCAGGTAATACACTCATACACATAAAATAAAAATAATAAATAAAATATTTTTTAAAAACCTGGTTCTGAGAAAGAGATGTGCACTGGCTACACTGAGCAGAATGGAGAGGAGGAGGAAGGGGGGTGGGGAGGCTAAGCCAAGGACTCTCACTAATAATGTAACACTGGATGGGAAATGGCAAAAATGGCTTCTTGAATTTCTACAGCAGTGGGAATGAAAGAGCAGTGGACAAACTTCAGAACTACTTCAAAGAAAATCAATGAATCCAAGATTTCTAACATAGAGAACTAGAGAGGAAAGGGGTTACAGTAAAGAATCAGCTCCAGCACAACCTCCTGAGGCATACTGGAAAAACTGACAGAAGCCAAAGGAACTGGAACACTGAGAGGCAGTTGCTCTCTGAATTACTTTGTCAACACTCAACGTTTCCTACTCATCCTCCAGATTTCAGCTAAAAATTATTTCCTTAAGAAAGACTTGCATCAGGCTTGGTGGCACATACTGTTATCTTGGCACTTGGGAGGCAGAAGCAGGAAAATGACAAGTTTGAAGTCAGCCTGGGCTACAGAGAAAGACTCTGTGTCAAAATATAGAAAAGGGGGTGGCAGAGAGGGAGAGAAGAGGAGGGAAAAGGAGGGAAGGAGGACTGACCTTACTGATCACTTAAAACTAGGACAGTCCCCAAAATGCAGGCTTTTATAGCAGCTTTACTGCATATTTATATAGCAGATTTATAGATTTCATCTATAAATCTATAGTGAAATCTGTATAAACACTAAGAAAGATGGGGCTATGTCTGTTTCATTCATTTCTACATTCCAAAACACTAGCATACTACAAAGCACACAGCAGGTGCTTAATAAATGTGTATTTAACAAGTGAACGCATGAAATGCATTGAGAGAGAGGAGAGAGAGAAGCTGGAGGAAGGTCAGGCATATGCCAGTAATTCCAGTACTTGAGGGAGAGGTCAGAGTAGGAGGATCAAGAGTTTGAGGACAGACTATAGACTATACAGTGAAATCCTGTCTCAAAAGATTCCCATCCCACCCATCCTCCAAAAAAGAAAAGAAAAACTGAGGAAGAGAAGGAAAAAGAGGTGGAAGGTGTAAGAATAAAAGAGAGCACGAGAAGAGGTGAGGCACAAACTACTACACACTGGAGAATAGGTTCAACCTGGCAGAAAGGCTGTGAGAAGGATGAGGACTGAGGAAAGGCAACCAGCGACGTGGTCAACATCGACATCGTGTGTATTTATTGCAGCTAGCATGCTGTGTGAGGATAAGGAAGAATTAACAGTCTAACTTATTCTTAGTGATCTCCCCTGCTGTCTATCCAGAGCCTGAGCCAAGTCTCCCAACTCTTAAAACAGGAAGGATGTGGATTTGCACTGAGGCGTCTATCAGCTGGAAATGACAGTGATGCACACACTATAAAAATAGAGCTCTCTGGCATGGGCTGGCAGACTTCCGGGAAGATCACAGAGAAACCATCTCCACACATAACACAGATCTTATTTTTCCAGTGTCATTCAAAATTCTCTGGTAAACAACTGCAGTAAAAAAAAATCTGTAAGAGTCTAAGAGGATAATGGGAAAGACCTATCAAAAGTAATTGCCTTACATTATCCAAGACAAGGATTACAGCTGAGAAAAGTAGACATTTTGCCCATAACTAAGTAAAATTAGTACCGAAATTGCCCAACAGCAGGAATGGCTGACACATGCTGTTAATTTAATACTTAACCTCTGAAGAGATGATGTCTTTGCAAACACAGTATCTCATTATCATGTCGCCTCATATGCCTCTGCAAGGAACTGGAGTGAGGCCCCAGCTTTCTCACAGCCAAGTACTGCAAGCTCTTTCCAAGGGCTGTGTTTTT